ACACACACACACACACACACACACACACACACACACACACACACACACACACACACACACACACACACACACATTCTGCAGCAGCAACATTTTAGGCTCCTGTACAGACAGTAGTAAGAAGGACACTAAACACTATTGATGCTTAAAGAATAAGTAGATTAGCTCCATGGAAGACTCGAAATAAAACAAAGAGTGTAAAGCTCGATGAGGCCCATTAGATTCTGAGGCAGGACAGAGAAGGGTTAAAGGTGGGGGCTGACATGGGAGCAAGAACTATGCAGGAAATGTTCAGGAGGCATAAGTAGGATGGCTTCTAATAGCTCTTCCAGATCTGCATGATCTCTAGAGGATCGCCTCCAGCACCATCCACAGCCAACTGGACAATTTTTCTAGGCCTCTTCCCCTCGAATAGTACAGACTGAATTCAGATAGAGTGCAAAGAGGCTACAAGTAAGTAACTCAATACTAAGTAAATAATACTTAGTATTGAGTAAAAAAAGAAGACAATGTTGATATCGTTGCCTTTCTTGGGAAATTTAAGCATCTTCAGACAAGACAGAAACACACGGCTCCAGGATTAATGATTGAAACGAGCTGACACATTTATAATGCACGTAATGTACTTGACGATGTTTAAAGGATCTTACTCTTTTAAAATAATTTCAGACATTTAAATACAAAAGGTGATTTTGCAACTATGTTAATGTTCTCTCTTAATTTCCATATAGTACAGTGGCCCACCTTTCACTGTTAACATGGTTGAATTACAGTGAGAAACAAAACCAAACAAACAATTGTGAAATATGTCGAATACTTCGAAAGCTTAAAAAAGAATGAACCAGGTTTCATTTGTAAGACTATAGTTTGATAAGCACAAATTATTGTAATGTTTAAAAGTAACTGAAATCTACCTAAATGAACGCAGATAAATCAGGTTCCGCGGTCTCTGCGCTGTGTGAAAGCGATTTTAGAGAGTTGTCGGTGCAGTTATTACAGCAGGAGTTACTGGATTTCTCTTACCGTGCGCATCTCCATCCTCGGCCATGGCGTTGATCTTCTTGTTGGGCAGGACCTGTACATGTTTGCCGCTGGTCCGGCTGTAAAGCTGGTAGATCCGGATCAACCTGCGGCTCGTGCGGTCCGTCACTTTGCTCTGTTCGCTTACATGCTGCGTGAAATTAGGCGGGGACTGATTGGTTACCTGTCAGAAATTAGACGGCATTACTTACTTATTTATTTAAAATTTACAAGGTCGGTCGCGCGGCTTCGGGTCGTTGACGGGACTGAAGCGCAGAGAGAAAACGCGTCCGTTTGTTTTTCTCACTTCTTTCTTTCTTTCTTTGGGTTTTTTGTTTGTTTGTGTTTTGGGTGGTGGTGGGGGGTAACTGTAACAAGTTCCAGAAGAGCGGCTGCCAGATGAAATTAACAGGTTCCAAAAAGACGCACGGTGTGATAACAGGTTGTGCATACAGGAGAATGCGCGCCGCAATGCCCAGAAGAAGAAGAAAAAAGACGTCGTATGATTGAAATAAAAGCTCCACTACTCATTCATCATGGTGTGAAATATTATCAAACTACTTTAACTTCGTTCTTAATGTGTTTTTCTTTCACTGCACTCTCTCTCCGTCGCGTTCCGCTGTGATGGAATGAGTGGAGGTAACGGAAACGTTGGATCTTTCAACCCCCAATCTGTGCCCGAGCATCTTGTGCCAGGGCCAATATGTTCATCAGCAACCTGTCAGCAGGCCGCGCGCCGTGGGAGCCATTCGATACTGCCGTATTACAACATGTTATGTTACCTTTCCCCCTCTCTTTATGATTGCTGCGCATCGCTCGCTTGGACTGACGGTTTTTAACCTAATTCTTATTTTTGCAGCTAAAATAATTTGCAGTATTTTAAAGACAAATTGTAGCAATGACATACCTGCGCGTAGTAGAACAATGCAAATAAGTGCAGGAACCTGCAAAAGAAAGAATACCGTGCATTCAGTGACTTAATACGGGGCTGCGTGGAAAAACATTAATAGTGCGTAAAGAGTCGAGGTTAAGCAGGACAGCACTCACACACAGCTGAACCTGGATGGGATGGGTCGCATGTTGGATGAAGTCAATTTTTACTAGGATCCGTTAGTAAGAGCACACAATCTACAAAATAAGCAACCAAGTCCAAAGATTTCAGAGGGATCCAGAAAACGGTCAGATGCGCTGACAGACAGGTTTAAAAAAGCACAAGGGACACATTCTTCATTACATCTGTGACCTTCACCGACAAAATCTTGCTCAGTTGAAACGGCAGTTAGTGCTCATAATGTGTCATCAAGGTATAGCTGCCCGCGTCTGTCACAGAGCTACCCAAAGTGCACTTGGAGAAGAAAAGCTCTGCGATGAAGTTTCTTTCTTGTTTCTACGTACAGCCCGTCACTATATTCCTCCTGCTTTATAAATCCTCCTGGGTCCTCTACGGCCTTCAGGTGTGTTTGCAGAGTGAGCTTACTCGGTGTTGTTGCACTGGCTCGATGCTGCAGCTCCGCTCGGCTATGGCTGGACTACAGACAGGACTCTCCTCTCTCTGCTCTCATCCCGCAACGCTCCCGTGTCAAGCCTCTCGCTCAGTGCTCACACACCCCCGGTAAAAATGGCAGACTGAGAACAAGCCCCCTTTTTCTACAGAACAAAAGCGACCCCCCACACCCCCAGCCCCACTCTTTCCTCCCTTGCCTTGATGCGAAACATCTCTTTACCTGAGTAGCGCTCCGGACTTTGTTGAGGAACAAAGAGGCGAGGAGGAGCCCTGGCTGCCCTAGGGACTGCATGAAAAATTAAAACCACCAAACAAATACAGTAAATTACAATAAGGCATCAGGGTGATGAACACTTTTCTGCGGGCTTTACCTGTTTGTCACAAAGGCGATTTGATGACCCCGCAGACGCTCGCGTTGATCAGTTCTGGGATGCAAACATTGAACAAACAAACAAAAACAAAAACACCCAAATACAAATACAAACAATTAAAAAAGAAAACTAAACCTGATAAAGACCACAGCCTCTCTTTCCTGCAACATTTAACTAGACTACAGTGACTATCTGGCTTTTAAAGCCTTAATCTCATGGCAGAGGGAGACATTGGTTCATTAAGGCAAAGCAGACAGCAGCATGTGACCTTCACACCTCACAGCCTCCCGAGTTATATTTAAGAAAGCCCTTAAAGACTTAAAATGGCCAGTGAGAACTTTATATTGCTTTGATGTGTGAAAGGAGGCGGTTGGATGAGGAGGTGCGGGTTAATTAGATCAGGTGGAGTCATTCCTCTTTTTTTTAGATTATAAGTAATGTCCAGGTTTGCTCTGATGAGTTTTTGTTAAGAACACCCTTAAACCTCATTAAACCAAAGCCCCCCAGCCACTGAAAGAAGATGGTTTCAGTGAAGCATGTCATACAGACTGAAGCCACCAGTGGGTGCTGCAGCAGAAATTATTAGGTGTAGGAAAACACTGGTTGCCCCCAGTGTTCGTGGTGACATTATACTGAATGACAGTTTAAAAAGAGAGTGACATTTCATCTATTATCTGCTCTACTGACAGGCTTCATGTTGGCACATAGTTTGTTTTTCTGTTTCCTCCCCTCCCTCTCATTAGCCTCCTCTGCTCCGTGGATGTGCGCACATGTGGATATACATCTGTGTGCAGCGACAAGTTAAACATGTAACCTCAGTTGAAACATTACATGGGTCAGTGTGTGAGGTAATGTGTGTATTGTGGCTGAAAACTGTAATAAAACTTTTTGCATGTGTCCTTATGTGTATTTGTGTCAGTATTTGTGTTAGATGAGTGGCAGGTAGCTGCTATTCTGTGTCCTGGCTCAGGGTCCTGTTGCCCTCCCCTTAACCCTGGGGGCCCTGCATCCATCAGCAGCCCTGCAGGGGGCAAACACCCTTCCCCCTTTTCTCTTCCTCTCTCTCCTCTTCTTCCACTTGTGATCACAGACACACCATTGCATTTATGAAAGCGCTGTGGTTTGAAGACGGTGGAAATGCTAGGAGTTTTATTGGGAGAGACCGGAGACGACAGGATAAAAAAATGAGTATATTGGAGGGACAGCTCAGGCTGAGGAGTTTGGAGACAAAATTAGAAAGCCGAGGTGAAGATGGGTTGAACATGTACAAAGGTGGGATAGCAAATATTTTGGTCAGAGAAAGTGAAATATGGAGCTGCTGGCCAAGAAGAAAGGAGGAAAACTGGTAGTGCAGAACTTGCAAAGAGTTGGTCTGACTGAGGAGGATGCTGGGATGGCAGCGGATGCTGTGGTGACCCCTGAAGACAGCCAAAAAAAGAAGATGACAAAGTCTCAGGCTTTTCAGGGACCCCCTATCACCCCCTCTATCCTTTTCACTACTAAACATTTGCCTTTATTAGATGTTGTTAACTTTAGTCTGTTATTTGCCAAAGTTTATGTGCTTCTTTGTGGTATCACTTTTTCTTCGTTCCTTCAACATTTAACCAGCCTTGACAGATGAGTGCCTTCCTAAGCATCTTCCAGTAATCAGATCAGTGTCTGTGTTCAACATATGCAGGGTATCTTTCTGTTATGTAGATTCACTTCCCGTAACATTGGCGATCAGGATCAGTTACAAAAAAAGATCAGTCAAAACCACAAACAAAACAAAACAAAACAAAACAAAACAAAACAAAACAAAACAAAACAAAACAAAACAAAACAAAACAAAACAAAACAAAACAAAACAGAACAAAACAAAACAAAACAAAACAAAACAAAACAAAAACAAAACAATCATTAACATTAGGTAAGTCCTTGTTAGAACGTGAATTAATAGTTGATCAACGTATGGATTCACTCTGCCTTACAGCAGGTTACCCCTGAGTCCTACCAACTGTCACAATTAACAAGTGGCATAGAAACATTTAACAGTATTCCACAAAAACCCTCTTTTGTCTGATAATTTACTAATTAAATTTAAATTTACAATAATGGATTACGCCAGTCTCTCACAGCAGGCTTACTTGTTGTTCCTAGAATATTTAAAAGTAGAATGGGAGGCAGAGCCTTCAGTTTTCAGGCCCCTCTTCTGTGGAACCAGCTTCCAGTTTGGATTCAGGAGACAGACACTATCTCT